GAATAATATTTAGAAAAACTCGAATCCGCTGCTAACTTCATCTACATGATGAAAAGAGTTTTTCATGTGGAAATATTACTTCCTTTTTCTTCAACTAAGTTAAAACTCTCTTGAAAAATAACTTCAATAAAATTTTTTATCAACTCGGCTTATTCTTTTGAGCGAATCAGAATAAAATCGGTTTGTTTATTCAAGATATTCTCGCATAGGATCTTTTTCTGTTCTCAATTCTTCTACATTAAAACGACAATTTATCTCATTCTCTCTCGATTGTTAGGCGAGGAAAAAAAAATTTTTTTTTATTTGGATTGTCATTTTGTATAATGCAATAAATAGTTTGCTTTATTAAATATGCTCAGTATGATGGAATTAGAAGAAACTATTTGATTAAAATAGGAATAGATTTAATTTTAAGTTAGTATCAAATATCGAAACCTTTCTCATTCTAGAGTAAATAGACTAGGTCTGAAAAAATAAGAAACATTCATCGAGGGTTTTGTTTGACGTCAATATTCATTAGAAAAACAAATTAATGTAACGTTCAGATTTCATTTTCAAAAAAGTAGTCTTAACATAATGAGATTTCTAAAATTAAAAAATTTCGATTAAATTTTATAAAACATAATTATTTTTAAAAAATAAGAGCACGTACTTCCACATCCCTATTTTTATTTTTTCCTTCTTCTTGTTTTGAGTAGCAATGTATAGTAAGAAGGAAGAAAACAATTCAAAGTTTGATATAATAGCAATAATCAGTGAAGTAGATAACTTTATATTGCTAAAATTCTTCCATTATTGTATTTTTTTTAGAAAAAGCTTTTAAGAGAACCTTATCTAGATACATTAGAGATAATACTCGTGCTTCATTAAAGAGAAAAAAAATTATGGGTTGTTCATCAACAAAAAATCTTTCATCAATAATTGGTGCTCCTTTGGAAAAACATGATCCTGTGTCAGGTCCAATTAATACATCATCTCCTCATCGGGAAACACGTTTTATTGAAAATTGTATCGTTATCTGGCTCGTTGCTTCATCAGCAATAACAACGCATAAAAATATAGCAGAAAAATTACGTCAAGTTATCAGTATATTGAAGATATTTAATAATCCTACTGAATGTATTACTTTTATTGAAAATATTCGCGAGGAAAAAGTTTTCCTCATTGTATCACCAGAAATGGAACAAGCTATTCGAAGTGTTCATTATTTATCACAATTAGAAAAGATCTACATTTTTTCTCTGTCTTTTCAAAAGATAGAAACTATCAATGATCAGATTATACAAACGAAAATCTTTTCGGATATTAATGAACTTTGTGAACAAATTCATCAAGATGTAAAATTTTGTGAACTCGATCTTATCAATATAATTGTTGTACCTGCAGAAATTCAATCGACTACTTTTTCAGCAGAACAAGTAGCAATGTTTACCTGCATACAATTAGTTAAAAAAATTGCACTTCGTATTAAATTCGAAAGTGAACATAAAGATGTATTTCTTGATTTTTGTCGACCTTATTATGTATCAAATGAAGAACAAATACAATATCTCGAAGATTTTGAAAATAATTATCGACCTAAAAATGTCTTATGGTGGATTACAAAGCCATGTTTCCTATCAAAAATACTTCATCGTGTTTTACGTACTTATGAAATTGATATTATATATAAGATGGGTTTCATTGTCAGACACATACATACACAACTGACGCTTCTTCATGAAAATATTTTTTCGTTATTTACAGATCGTTCAATTGTATATCGAGGAAAGACAATGCCCAATGATGAATTTGATATACTAATAAAGAACAATTGTGGTGGTATTCTGTCCTTTTCCAATTTCTTAACAGCTAGTATTCATAAGAAGGATGCCATGGATTTTATTCAACAACGATTGATAATACATCCAAAAATGGCAGCGATTCTTTTTGAAATATGTCTTGATTTGACAATACGAAGTACAGCAAATGTTTGTGCTATGATTAATAACTTAAATTCGAATATGAAATCAGAAGAAGGAGAAATTTGTTTTACTATGGGAACAGTATTTCGTATTCAATCAGTTGAACAAGTAACAGACAATCTAACAAATATATGGATCGTCAAATTAACATTTGTTGATGATAATGATCAACAATTCTATCGTCTCGTTGCACCTTTACGAACTAATGATGTAGATACTAATCCACTTTCATATTTGGGTAAATTACTTATTGAAATGGGAGCAAGTGAACGTGCCGAACAATTCTATCTCGATTTACAAACAGATCCGTCTGTATTCAATCAACCACGTCGTCTTGCACGTTTACAAAATGGTCTCGGTCTTATTTTTACATATAAAGGTGACCATATGAAAGCTCTTGAACATTATCATATCTCATTGAAAACAACTTTAAGCTATATGTCACCTGATCATCCTGATCTTGCAAGTATTTACAAATCAATAGGAGATAGCTATCGAAATACTCATAATTATATTCAAGCTCTAGCAAACTATGAACATAGTGCTCAATTGTTAAAAGATGATCAACATTCTATCATCGATCTGAACGATTGTATTATTAAAACGAAACAATTACTTGAACTTAACAAACAACAATGTTAGTTTTTACGATACTGAAAATATAGGTGTGGATGTAAAAACAATGTAACTCATATTTATAATTTCAAATTTAATAAACGTTGTCTTATAAATTGTATTTCATTTATCTAATGAATTGAATAGAATTATTCATTTTGAAAAGAAAACAAATAAAATAATTTTTTTATTCTTAAGAACTTTTTCAAATATCCTTGTCTTTTATCAGTATAAAAATTTGTTTTTGTTGTCGTTATTTTACTATATATATATATATATAGTTTATTTTTATGTTTACAATTACTCATTTTCTGTTCTTCACCTTTGATAGTGTATCTTCATTATATACAACCATCAGCAATTAACTTGTCTACATAGAAAAGAAAGATACAAAATTTCCATAAATGATTTCTTTGACTGAGGAAAAGATTTTTTTTTGTTTCTATTTAAACTATCATACCGAACTTAATTAACATCAACTTTCAATGAATTAATTAATACTATATGTATGTGTAATGACGTTTTCATTTTGAATATAACGAATATAATATCCATTTAATAACTTTTATCAATAATGTATCTCTCGCTTTTTCTTTAGAGTATTATTATTCGAAATTCTCTTCGTTTAAAATGACCACAGGTGGAAAAGACGAAATTGATTTGCATCGTATTATACGTATTACTGATATTGTTAAAGAACCACTTGAATTTCTTTTACCAATTACTGGTTATGAACAAATGCCACTTGTTTCACTTGAAGAAGCTGTTGATAAAATTGTACATATTCTACCATTTATTCAAACTTATGCACATATTGCTAAAGAAAGATGTAAAGATCCTGCTGATAAATTAACACAAGATGAGTCAGCTGCTATTATGTTATATACAATGGGATGGCATCCATATGATAAATGTCTTTATTATGTATTAAATTCTGCATTACGTTCAAAAAATCGTGAAAAACTTATTCCATGGTTTTTATATTTAAAACTTTTTCTCTATGCACTTTCTCGTCTACCATCCTATACACAAATGGTATTTCGAGGTATGAAATTAAATTTAAATGAACGATATATAAATGGAAATACAATATTATGGTGGGGATTTTCATCTTGTACTTCAACAATGAAAATTCTAGAAACAGAAATATTTTTCGATAAAACAAATGAAAGAACGATGTTTATAATTGAATGTTTAAATGGTAAAAATATTCGTAGACATTCATATTTTTCTAAAGAAGATGAAATATTACTTTTACCTGCTACTCATTTTAAAGTAATTAGTTCTTGTAATCAAGGTAATCTTCATACTATTCGATTAAAAGAAATTCAACCACGTATTCCACTTTTAAATCCAATAATTATTTCTTTAGGTAAGTGTAAAAAAAATAGAATTATAATAACTTAATCGATATTTTATTTTATCAGCTGATTTTGAAAGTGGTAATAAAACAGAAGCTCTTACTTCTGTTAATGTATCAGAAACTTATCGAAAAGATGAAAGTAGTGCAAATCAAACAATGAGAACAAAGAAACATACTGTATGTATAGAATAATTCTTCTCTTCTATAGTTTTTGTTTTTCAATAATAATATTTTCATTTTGTATAGAAGATCACAGATGAAAACCTCACTCAGCCGAGAAAAATGTCACTGACAGATACTAGTTCAAATACTTCTACCGAATTCATTGGTCATTCTCCTTTAGAGCGGGTTTGTTACAGTTTTTTTATAAAACATTATCGTTATTTATATGTTTAGTTTCGACGGCATACAGTTACTAGTCAAACAGGTAAGAATAAAAGTTATTTTTTTTTAAAAATTATGTTGTTTTCTTTTTCATATTAAGACCAAATTAATCCAAAAATCAGTAAATGGAAACAATATGGAACTATAGTTGCTGGACGAAGTCAAATTGGAAATCAATCGAGTCATCTTTCTCATCCTCATGGAATCGTTATTGATAATGAAAAATCGATCTATATTGCAGATAGTTATAATCATCGTATTGTCGAATGGAAATATAATATGACACATGGTAAAATTATTACAGATGAAAATGGAACAAATCAAATTAAACAATTGAAATATCCAATAGATTTAGTTTATGATAAGAAAAATAATTCTTTTATTATTTCTGATTGGGGCAATAGACGAGTCATTCGTTGGTTTCATCAAAATAAAACAAATTCACAAATTCTTATTTCTAATATTGATTGTTATGGTGTTACAATAGATAAAAATGGATTTATTTATGTTTCTGATTATAAGAAACATGAAGTAAGACAATGGAAAGAAGGAGATAGTGATGGAAAATTAGTTGCAGGGGGAAATGGTCAAGGAGATGGTCTTCATCAATTTAGTTGGCCTGGTTTTATTTTTGTCGATGAGGATTATTCTCTTTATATATCCGATTGTTCGAATCATCGTGTAATGAAATGGAAAAAAGATGCTAAACAAGGAATTATCGTTGCTGGTGGAAATGGTCGTGGAAAAAGTCTTAAACGATTATGGGGTCCTCAAGGTGTGATTGTTAATCCTTTTGGTCAAATTTATATAGCAGATTCTTGGAATAATCGAATTGTATGTTGGCGTGAAGGAGATAGTCAAGGTTCAGTTATTGTTGATGGAAATGAAAATACGAGAGGATCAAATAAATTAACTCGTCCTGTTGGTATATCATTTGATGATGGAGGAAATCTTTATGTTGCTGATTGTTTAAATCATCGAATTCAAAAATATGAAATTGATTTTGATTGAAAATATTTTTTTCAAATAAAATAAAATATATATATTGCTTTATAATACAAAAAAGTATGATAAAAACAGTGCAAGCAAAAGTTCTTCTTTTTGTTTATTTTAATCATTTTGACGACGAAGTTTTACTCTTGTTCTTCCACTAGTTTTTATTTGTATGAGAGGTTGACGAAGTATCTTCGTTCGAATAAGCTGTAGAAATTCACGTCGGAAGATACCGGATGATACAACAAAGGTTGCAAATGTTAATGAAAATCCAAAATAGACTAGTAGATATGTCATATTATTGATAAATACTTCTATTGTTTGACGAGCTGATGATTTTTCTGTATTAATAGTAAATGCATTATAAACAAGATAACATGGATTAGGTATGTTAAAAATAATATATAGAATAATTTGATTTGCTATCATTTTATGTAATTGAAGTTCTTTCTTTGATATTTTGCCAGTTTGAATTGGACGACCATCATTCGTTTCTCTAACTATTCCAATTCGTTTTCTAGTTTGATGAACATTGCGAACAGTTAGTAGACCAAAGATAAGCATGAGAAGTGTAGGAAGAATTCCACTATCAATAGAAATATAGATACTAAAAAACATTCCATAGGCACCTGCTTGTGGTTGACAACTATGATCTCTAATTTCGTAGAAGACAAGAACTTGAATGTATATAATACACCAGAGAATTATATTGCCGATAATAAGACGAAAAGCAATCTTTGGTGAACTCCATTGTCGACGAAGAGCATTACGAGAACTGGCGAAATAACGATCAATTGAAGCTATGACGATTGCATAACGAGGAATGGCTACAGAAACATAGAAACAATAATACCGAAATTTACAATACCCTAGAGAAATGTTAACGGTTTTAATATCATAACCATATTGAAGCAAGCGAGTAAGAAGAGGAAAATTAAAAGTAAAAAATTGTGCAAAACTCGAAACGAGAAAATACATAGCACAAGGACTTTTATCGTAAGTTGGTTGATAAAACACCATACAAGTCAGAACTGATCCAATATTACCAATAAACCAGATAAGACCTAAACCATATTGTGAGATAATTTTGTTTAGAAGATTGATAAATGTAATTAAATCAGTTTGATCATCACTGGCAGTAATGCTAGTATCATTTATCGTTGTATTGTTCATCTTTTACAAAGCCTACAATAAATTAAGTCATATGAAATTTCTCTTGATATGAGTTTTATTAGATTCTACATCTAACTAAAATCTCAAAGCAATCTTCAATTTAATATACAGTACTATAGAGTAAGATTGAACTAAATAAGTCATCATTAAAAGAATATATCAAGATTCAGATAACTGTCAATTCATATGGGATGTTTTTTTTTATAGATTCATTAAATTCAACAAAACAGAATACTTAGTAATACAAATTAAACCTTCAGAAAAAAAAGAAGAATGTTAGCAAATCACTATAACTTTTGAATTTGAACATGATTGAAATGTGATATGATAAGAGAATAGTTTTTTCATATGAAATCAGCTATAAATAGAAAAATCTAAAACAATTAATTGGCTTGTTATTTCATATTCAATTGACTAGGGGTAATCAACTTCACAGACGATCAAGTCAGTGATATTATTTCGTAAGAATATAGCGTATTGACTGAAGATTTATTAGCTAACTTTCAAGATCGAAAATGATATCATCGTACATAGCGTAAACGATATAGAAAATTCTCTGTAAATCTTATTTCTTATGAAAAATTTGATTTTAACTGATAGCAATGATAAGATTTTATCACGCATAATACTCACCTATGAAAGAAAGCTGATCAACAAATAATACGGGAAGATATGCAGTTTTATGCCTTTTTCTTTTTTAATGAATGGAGAAAAAGAAGATTAAGAAGAAAAACAAAACAGACAAATATTAATTATCATTTCGCTAGTACTGCCATTTATCAATGACAGAATTAAGCATGACATTTTACTTTTACTTTATTACTAAATAAAGCAACTATAAAATATTATATTTATAGACGTTTTGACAAAATAAGGTCATGTATTTGTATTTGATATAGTGCTATTTACATCTTGATCAAATTAGTTTGTGAATGATACAGTCTATTTAGCTAAAACATGTGAGAATTTGTTTCTATTGTCATCAATAAGCACATTGATTTATTTATAAATTTCAGCTACTCAGTTCAAAAACCGGGTAAGAGCATAAATTCAGATTCCTGTTTATTTTAATAATTGTTACTATTATTGATATTTCCCTAAAGAAATAGATATACAATGCTCATTGATTTTAAAGAATATATCTATAGAAGTGAATAACTCAATTGTATCTTTCTGTTTTTCCTCAAATTTTGAATAAAAAAATTGATTAGAAAAACAATTATCTGTAGAATTTTTTTTGTTTTTTAATTTAGTTGATATTATAGCTCAAGGTATGTTACAACAACAAAAAAGCATTGCTAAATGGTATAAAATTACTCTAAAATTATATAAGAAACCTTTATTTTCTTATAAGTATCATTAAAATTTGTTAAATATTTTGAAGACTCACTAGGTTAGTATATTTGCATAATCTGTATGTATTAGAGTTTGTTTACTTGCTTATTGATGATTTCCACATTGATTTAATCTCACCGAGCAGACAAAAATGGAAATAGCTATACTATTTTTGTGTACTCAAAAAGTGAGTACACTACTAGAATCGGTCAGTGTGTCCGTCCGTGCGTCCGTTTACACGATAACTTTCGAAAGGAGAGGTAGATTTTGATGAAACTTTCTACACAATTCAGTCTCATCAAGATCCGGGTCGAGTTCGAAGATGAACCTAATTGGCCCGGCCATTCCCGAGTTATTGAAAAAATACTGAAATTCCCCTATGGTTTCCATATACACTTTTTGCAGTACACATAACTCTCGGATAAAATCCGAAGTTTTCACATTTATTTTATTATCCTTTTGTATTTTTTTCAGATACATTTTATCATTATATCAATGTCATAACATGAAATGATATAATATAATATGATAATTGTCATATGTCTAATTGATAATAAAATCGTTTATTATACAAGATATGTTAAGAGAGAAAATATTTCTCTAATTCGTGAATTCTATTTCAATGTAATCTGTAGTTACGACATCTACGATCGAATATAGGAAAGAAGACATACTATCCAATTACATCAAATCAAAGAGAAGTTAATTCCGTTTGGAAATTTCGGGATAATTCATGAATATGCGAATATTATACCCGGTAATCAAATTAAATAGATAAGAAATTATTAACTTTTAAATTCACTTTCTCTAATTTACTAATTAAACATATTATTATCGGTTGTTTCTGAATATTGTATTTCTTTAGATATTTGACTACACTCTACTTCGTCATATAAATATGGCAACAGTTGACTATAATGAAGAAGTAAAATTTTTCACATTGTTTTAACTAAATTGAAGATTTTGATTATTTAGGTGATTAAACTGATTCTACTCAAGATGGAGCATGAAGATACAATACAAATTTTACAACAACAAAAGATTGAATACCAAAGTGAAATAGATCATCGTATGAATTAACTGGAAATCATTTGGCATCAAAAAGAATCAGAATGTAAGACAGCTAAAATAGAATTTTTACGTTACAAAAAAGAAAAACTTGATGAATTAGGTACGCTTTTCTTTTTTTTTAAATCAAGCTTTACGTTCGGAAACTAAAGAAGTCAACGTTTGTTTTAGCTATTGAACATGTTTAACGTCGATTAACTTTATTTAAATACCGAGATTTTCATAGTCATCCTGATCAAAAGCAACGGCAGCATAAACGATGTAAAACAGTGACCGTTTAAGACGCCGTTTTCGATGATCGGAATGATCGTCTTGGGTAACTATTATCATGTAAAATAAATAAAAAGAAAAGAAGAAGTAAAAAAAGAAATTTTTGAATTGAATTTAATTAAAAATAGTCTTCCATATCGACTGATTTATATAAGGCTTTATCTGAGTAGATAAATGTATATTTTTTTAATGCACCTTGAAATATTTATTCATATAATCAATGTATATATTCGTCCGTCAGATTCATCTAAGAAATAATGCACGACAGATTTGCTCTTCAGTCTATCATTTTTATATATATTCAATGAAGTTCATTGAATGAACTATAGCAGAGAACAAGTGAATAGAAAAAGGTAGCTTTTTGATCTGCAGGAGAGTTAATGAAGATAACACAAGAAAAAACAAAGAAGATGATACTATAAACGCAATGACTTTTATTGTAGCTGTTTATTAAAATTCTTTAAATCAAACAATATTATATATGAATAAAAACTTGTTCTTCTTAATTTTGACAACATATAAAGTGTAGTTGATCTCTGACGATATGAAAATTGACGATAATTTAATAAAAAATTTCTTATTTAAGATTGTTTTTAATTCATTTCCTAACTCATAAATCATGATCATTACTTATTTAATTTGAAATTCAGAATTAATAAATATTCTTCCGTGATTCTTTTCTCGTATACACAAACGAAATGGTACATGTTCACAAGTAGTTTTTGCTCCATTATACTGACATCCATATGTTGAATTTACTTTATATAAGCCAGCACCACCAAAAGCTGAGCGTACTTCAAGTAAACCATATTCAACTGGCATATGTTTTTGGTGAATACCAATGATTAAATTTACAAGTGTACCACCACAATATTTTTTACCAGATCTTCCTAAATCCCATACTCGATGCCAGACATCATAGTTCATAACTGAATCAGATAATGTACGTAATGCCCAAATATCATAATATGAACCACTTGATGATGCTGTCATTACTGACCAATCATCTATGTTATATCGAAAATTAGAAAGAAAAGAAGAAACTGTTGTAGAAAATATATCTAAATCGGTAACTAAGATATAATCAGCTTTTAAATCATGTGCTTTGTTAAGTAGTTTATTACGACAAAAAGCAAGACGATCAGTACGTTCTGGATATGATTTCATCATATTACCATATGTGTAAACCTGTGTACGAGACCATTCATAAAGTTTTTCGAGGGTTTTATCATTTGAATCACTTTCACAAATAAGAATACGAGATGATGAATGAAAAAGATCAAGAATTGGTTCAATATGAGTTCGATAGTTTTTAATCTTTGATTCAACACTACGAGCACATGCTACGACAATTAAACGAAGAGAATGAAGTTGATGAAGAATATTTTGATATGATGAATTTGATATTCGTTGAGGTAAATTCTTTTGCGGATATTCACGTTCAAAAAAAGATCGATTGTCTGATACTATGGATACACAAGTGGGCGTAGGAGCTTTGGATGAGAGTCGAGTAGTAACCGTTGAAGACATCGAGGTTGTTTTATTTACTATTATCAACAGTGGAAGGATACTTGGAGGTTTGTTGCCGAAAAAGAAGATAACAAGAGTAAAGCAACTGATAAGTACGAAAAGTAATAAGTATTTTAACTTGAGACATTTAAGCTGATGATATTCAAGCATTTTTTTATATTTATATATTAAAAATAGATAAAATATTTGAGCAATATCACTAGTTGAACATTGTTTTATGGTACTAAAGAAAAAAGAAAGAAAAATGAAGTAGGTCATAACAGAAATTCAAAGAAGTTATAAAATAAATTGTTAGAAATATTTCATACCAGATGTAATCATGGTTACAAATTTTCTGTTCATCTATCACGCACAACTACTGTTAAATTACAGGATTTACCGTCGTGTACTTTATTGCCACTGTAAATAGTTGTTTACCAATAGAACTCTTTTTCTTGCAATTATGATTAGAAGTAGTTTTCTTTTTTTCTTAGAGTAAATTGCATGATTAAGTAAGAGCAATCTAATGACCACAATGGAGAAAAATCCATTGTTTTGTATTCTGACAGTCAAAGTAGTGATGTCACAATACCAATACGGTATTGGGATATTGGTATTGGTGGTATTCGAGTGGTATTGGTATTCGGTAGTATTGGTATTGGGTGGTATTAGTATTGGTATTAGTATTGGTATTGGTATTGGTATCGGTAAAATTGGTATTCTGACATCCCTAGGTCAAACCAGAATTGCCAAACCTCCTGATTTCTCTTGATTTTTAATTCTTCTCTTAAACCTCTTCCATAATACAAGCCCCTACC